CTAAACCCTAAACCCTAAACCCTAAACCCTAAACCCTAAACCCTAAACCCTAAACGCCTTCAGAATCTTTATATCAACCACGTCTCTTCTGAAGAAGCTGGCTAGAAGCATCCTAGGCGTGCTCGTGATTCATCCAGCCTTGGGGACGACATGAACCCTAAAATGGGGATCATATGCTAGGGTATATGAACCCTAAACCCTTTTAGGGTTCATGTAGTCCCTCAGGGGCTCATGCAGGAGAGCACTGCGAAGATCATCCCAAGGCGACGATGCATCAGGTCTGCAAGAGGGGTCGACGACGAACGAACATGCGCGTCCTGGCACTGCCGAAGCCATCGCCCTCCCCCCCCTTCCCGTTGTACTGAAGGAAGCTCATGTGGTCAGTTCTTGAAATCATGGTCCCCAAATACCATGGAATAATAGGGGCCGCGTTATGATGAGGAACCCAACCAAAAAAGGGCCGGATTTCAGAGAAGTTATCATGTAGTGCTGCACTCCGAACCCTACACAGTAAGCCCTAAACGAGTGAAGGCCAGCATCCTTCTCCCTGATAACCCCGAAGCCCGCCTCAAACACCGGGCCCCTCCCATGGTCCAGAAACTGATTCAGGATCTTGGGCTTAGGGCTCGTAATGGTTCTTCTTAACTAGCCCTATTCGTTGTCTGGTCTTTCGGCGCATACTTCCACAAGGATTCTCTACGTCAGCTCCGGTGCCTTTCTTTTTTGTCTCCAGGGCCTTTTGGGGCTTTAGCGTTTTTGTCGAAGTTGCAGACATTTAGGCTTTGAGGGCTCCCGCATGGCTTCTGATCTTCATTCAGTTTTTCAGTCACGGGTTTAGGGTGTACGGATTCTAGCCGTGCCCCCATCTAGTCCCCCATAAACCCTGCACACCCCACAGAAACCTGAACCCCCTACACACACAATAAATTCCACACCCTAAGCCCTAAACCTTTAAAAACCCAAAACCCTAAACCCTAACCCCCGAAGGCGGCATACTGGAGGGCATGGTCAAGTACTTGGCAGCTCGATGGACAGGGTTTAGGGGATTGGGGTGCCTGTCTCAGGGTTTAGGCCAGTTCAGGGTTCAGGGTTTAGGGCTTAGGGTTTAGGGTTTCTGAACTTTTTCTTCTTCTTTCCCCCCCCCCCCCAAACGCTGGTGCGATGGCAGGCAGCCTTGGCTAGGACGGCACTGTGTCGCACTCTTCTTCTGACGTCTGGTGCATGCGGGCGGTGTCAGCCGCGTTACCTGGGTCGGTGTCAAATGCACCAAAATCCAGACCCCTGGGAGGATCCAAAAAGTAGATCCCCTTAAGGGTTGGAAAAGGGTACTCTTCCCTTAAGGGTCCCTCAAAATGACCCGAAAGTAGGAAAGAGTACTCTTTGGGGGCTCTACTTTTCGGATCCTCCCAGAGGTCTGGGTTACGGAGCGGCTCATGCTTAGGACCAAAAGAGTGAATCTGAAAGGTCGTACATGGCCTCGGTTTCAGGGTTTCAGGGTTTAGGGTTTAGGGCTTAGGGTTGCAAAGCAAGACAAAGCGGTTCTTAAACAACGGGCCCCGCCGCTGGCGTAGTAGTAGTACTTCTCGTAGTTCTCAAAGCCTCACATCTTCCATGAGTGCTGACTTCAGAAATACCTAATGGTTCCTCAAAATGACCCGACAGTAGAACAGAGTACTCTTTGGGGGCTCTACTTTTCGGATCTTTCGGATCCTCCCAGGGGTCTGGGCAAGCTATCTTCTGCCGAAATTGTATAACCCAAGCCCAAAACCTCAAATCCTAAACCCTACGAGGACTGAAGCAGTGTACCTTGACGAAGCTATCTTACCCTAAACCCTAAATCCTAAACCCTAAACCCTAAACCCTAAACTTTGCCCGATCTGGGGCGGTAGGTGTCCACCATCTCGTCGATGCACTTTGGCATCTTGACCATGGTGACCATCATGGAGGTTTCCCGAAGGTCCACCTTCAGGGGTTTAGGGTTTAGGGTTTAGGGTTAGGGGTTTGGGGTTTAGGGTTTAGGGTTTAGGGTGTATATAGGGACTTTGGGGCCCCACTGGCCCCAATACTTCATAGGATAGACTATCCTAGTGGTCTAGGGCTCAGTGCCTAGGAGTCTGAACGCTGTAACAAATCACTACTATAGGGGTTGAACTTAGCTAGGGTACCTGAAGGCTTCTAACCTACCTCTTTTCCATCTTATGTACTTATTCATTCTTTCTTTTTTTTTGGGGGGGGGAGGGCTGCAGTCTTTTTGCGGGAAGCTATAATAGCTTTCAGAAGGGAAGGTGGGTTGTTGAAGACAGCAGAGAGAGACTCCTAAACCTTGAGCCCTAAGCCCTAAACCCGAAAAATCCCAACGAGAACACTTCTGGCGCATGTCTCTTCCCCATCCTGCATGAGCTCCTCCTGAACGTCCTTGGGGTAGTACTGCGAGTACCTTGCGGTTTGGGGTTTAGGGTTTAGGGTAGGGGTTTAGGGTTTCGGGTTTAGGGCTCAGGCCCCAAAATCTGCTAAGTCGGGGGTCTGGATGCGAGGAGGGAGGTACGGTTCGGCTCTTGGGGGCTCTTGATGCACTTAGCTGGGTGGCCTGCGTGTTTTTACACCCCTCCCCCCCTTTACAGGGCCACCAAAACCCTAAAAACCTAAAACCCTAGAACCCTAAAACCCTAAAACCCAAAAACCCTAAAACCCTAAAACCCTAAAACCCCAAAACCCTAAAGCCCTAAAACCCTGAAACCCTAGAACCCTACACCCTCAACCCTAAACCCTACACCCTAAACATGGAACCCCCTGAACCCTAAACCCATCCGGAGAACCTCTGGTCTGGAAGCTGCAGCGTGTGCAAACAGATCTTCCACGGTGAAGGAAAATAAGGTCTCCCCTTCGCTTGGGCACCCAAACCCTGTAAATTTAGTAAACCTGGCAAACCCTACAAACCCCACAAATCCCTAGAACAGATAATAAACCCTAGACTCCCTGTAAACCCTGCAATTCCAACCCCTATCCCTACCCCGGTTCTTACAATAAACCCTAAACCCAAACCCTTAACCCTAATGAAGACCTGAAACCCGAGACCCTACTCACCAAAAACCCTAATTCCCCTGAATCCGAACTACCTAAACCCCTAAACCCTACTCCCGGTCACCGACCCCAGAAGGCCAGGGCGCAGGTAAGCCCAGACGCCGTCTGCATACCTGGGTCGGCCACCCCAGAAGGTTTAGGGTTTACGGTTTAGGGTTTAGGAATTAGGGTTGAAGGTTTAGGGGAGGGTTTAACGATTTATAAAGGTTTAGGGCTTCACTTCGATTTATAGGGGTTCACCCTGTAGGCTCCAAGAACCCTCCTACAGAGGGACGGGTACCTCTTATGGAGGGTTCTGGGGTCTCAATTCCTGGGGTTTTGAGGTCCCAAGAGCCTTGGGGTATAGGGATTACTATAGGGGCCTTAATAATTAGAATAGGGTTTTGGGGGGTTATTGTCGTAGAACCTGGGTTGCCCCCTAGGAACGCTCTGAAAAGAAGGTTTTGGGGGAATACTCCGAAAACGAGATCCTCTTGAACAAGAAAAGGAAATTAAAACGTACCGTGGGCCTACCCCTAAACCCTAAACCCTAAACCCTAAACCCTAAACCCTAAACCCTAAACCCTGAACCCTGAACCCTAAACCCTAAACCCTATACCCTAAACCCTAAACCCTAAACCCTAAACCCTAAACCCTACCTAGGTGCAGGAGGTCATAGAGCTGAGCGAAATTGTCCGCGGACATCATCTGGGCAGAAAAACTTGCAAGCTTGTTCAGTAACAAAACGCTTCTGAGTCCAGCGGTATAGGGTTTAGGGTTTAGGGTTTAGGATGACGAGAGCAACCAGAGCACACAGTTAGGCGTTTCAGGTGTAGACGGATCTGCTCTTTTGAACATGACGCTTTTTGGCTGCAGAGCCTGGGATCTCTTGGCCAAAAAAAATCACGTGACCTGACCCTAACATCAAGGGACTAAAGGAGGCACCCGTCTATGGGACTTCAGGGGTTTTTTGGTGGTTGTTTAGGAGCTACTAGGTATATAGGGACCATGTAAGGTATATATAGCGGCTTTTTGTTGGGGAATAAGATTAAGGGTCCCTTCCAGGGGGCCCCTCCCTATACCCCTTAATAAAACCTGACTCGAAACAAGCTCCGAATGCCCTGCCCGAAGGGAGAACATGAGGTGCAGGGTTTGATATTGAAGGAAACCTTGAACCCGAGAACTGATCTGAAGAAGAAGGACTTTGGTTGTAACCTACAACATAGTAGGTGCTGGATTCTTCAGGTATGGATTCAGGTTGGGGGTCGGAGGGGGGGGGGTAGAATCTAAGGGGTCAACAAAAGAGACAACTGCGACAACACAATGCTTCTGGCTTGCTTCGTTCCTGGTGTACATCTCAGCGTGCCTGACGCCGCTCCGCGAACACTTCCGACATCTGCTCCTGCTTGGAGGATCGGGGGAAGTAGTAAGTGTGCACACAGTAGACTTCTAAGCGTTATGAATACGCTAAGAGGGACCCAGCATGGGGTCCTGCTGCATAACCATAATTAATGAGTACTTACTAAGTCTCCCGATCTTTGAAGGGGTACTCATGCACTGCTATTCACCTGCGTAGCCGGACAGTCTGGATAAAGACCTATGGAAGCATTCGTTTAGTCATCAGTTTCTCTACTACCCCCCCTCTATACAAACCCCCCCCCCCGCCCTTAAAAAACCTCAATTAGGCGCTGAATTATCCCTAAATAGCCTTGATTATGGGGGGGAAGCTAGGGGGTAGTATAGAGGGGGTAGTAGGGGAACCCATGATTTAGTGGCCCTTGTACTGGATGTGGTCCACAAACTCCTCCCTAAAACCCTTAAAACTCCCCAGAAGCCCCTAACACCCCTGAGCCCACCCCTTAAACCGGACCATGATTTAGCGCTTCGGGTTGTTCATGAGGCATTGTAGCTGTGGGCTCAAGTTCGCGCAGCTCTGGTTATGACTTCTCAAAAATCTAGTCTCTGGGGTCCATCATGTGCTACTATCTTGTAAAGCCGACCTTGCGAATCGATAAGGCTTCGCGACAGCTACGGGTATGTGCGACGCAGGCTACGTGCATGTCACAAGTCCTTTGTGAACCTCTACACGATGTCCTTCTTTCAAACGACTTCTCATCTGGGGTTGCTCACCCTATACATGCTAGTCTCAATTGCACCAGAAAGCCCCCTCCCAGGCTGGGCCAGGTGAGCCAAAAACTCCGGACACTGCACCCTAAGACCCCAAAACCCGAAACTCCAAACTTTATCGCGAAACCCTGATCCCTGCCTACAAGGTCCCTCTCAAGGGAACCCGGATTCAGACCCCACCCGCCCCGCCCATCCCCCCCTGGAACCCTAAACCCTGAACCAAACCCTAAACCCTAAACCCTAAACCCTAAACCCTAAACCCCTAAACCCTAAACCCTAAACCCTCAACCCTAAACCCTAAACCCTGAACCCTTCCCCCCACCCATCCCCCCCCGGCCCATGTGCTCCTTGGAGCCAATCTGCATTTTCCACTGGTAGGCCAGTGGGTCGTCGGAATAGTTCGCGAGGTCAAAAGTAATTCCTCAGTGTCCTAAACCCTAAACCCTAAACCCTAGACACTAAACAGAGACCGAGGACACCCGCATAGACACAGCCATTAACATGACCCTGTGGTACTTACTAACCAAGTATACCTGTATCTACAACTGTACGCAGAACCAATTGTTAATAAGGGCACCCTTTTTGGGGTTGGTTACTTTATAATGGAACCTTGAACCAAAAAAAAGGAAAAGGGTGCCACTGGGCTACCATGTATAACTGTACTTAGAACCATGTACTTAGAGCCATATACACTTAAGGCTGAATGGCGTAGGAGTATACATCAGGGAGCAGCCGGTAGCCCTAGACCCTACCTTGGGGACGAAATGTACCCTAAAATGTGGGTCATATACCCTATACTACTAAAATTCCTATTAGGGTATATGAACCATAAACCCTTTTAGGGTTCATTTCGTCCCCAAGGTATGGCCTACTTTTGTACTCCTAGGCTTCCTGATGCCTGGATCCCCGAACAGACTCCCCGGCACGGAACCCCGTACTTGGCAGAACCTTGATCTCTTGTAAGGGTTTAGGGTTTAGGGTTTAGGGTTTAGGGTTTAGGGTTTAGGGTAAGTGTACAAAGGCTTCGGGTTCAGGGTTTGGGGTTCAGGGGTTTTAGGGTTTTTTTTGGGGGGGTTAGGGCTTGAGGGTTCAGGGTTTGGGGTTTAGAGGTTTTATGATGTTGGGGGGGTTCAGGGCTTGAGTGTTTAGGGCTTTATTACCCAGCCCTCGCTACTCAAAGCCTGAAACGCAGGTCGTTTTCCAAGCACCGGGCTTCTTTGGGTCCTTATTAAGGGAGGGGTTTAGGGTTTAGGGTTTAGGGTTTAGGGTTTAGGGTTTAGGGGGGGGTCCATGGCGGGTAGGTACCTAGAAACCTTACAACAGCTTAGGGAGCCTTAGGGAGTAGTGGGGAGCATTAGGGAACCTTGGGTCACATATCCCCCTTGAAAGGGTTTAGGGCTTAGGGCTTAGGGTTTAGGGCTTAGGGTTTAGGGTTTAGGGTTTAGGGTTTAGGGTTTAGGGTTTAGGGTTTAGGGTTTAGGGAGGCCAGGATGCAGTGTCGGGCCGATAGGGTTTAGGGTTTAGGATCCGGTGTGCAAAAAATCACACCGACAGAATACGTCCGCAAGGCATGTCGATGATGATATACCTAAAACCCCTTCCTCAAGGATCATACCTGAACTCACCTCAGATTATGAGTTTGTTGGGATCCCTGGCTGGGGACACATCTGAGGAGCTTCATGACCCTAAGCCCTAAACCCGAAACCCTAAACCCTAAGCCCCAAATCAATTGTCCGACCAAGCCTCGCTTGTACTTTGCCAAGAAGCAGTCTATCTTCGCCTTCCACGCGTTGCGCGTTGCTGGGGGCGGTTGCTCTAGATTGCAAGGCCGCTTGGGGGGGTTTAGGGTTTAGGGTTGAGGGTTTAGGGTTTAGGGTTTAGGATTTAGGGTTTAGGGGGAGGTTTAGGGTTTAAGGTTTAGGGCTTAGGGCCTACAGTATTGGTTTGCGGGTACAACAAAAGGGGTCATGCTTCGGATCAATCCGCATGAGTGTAGCTCAGGAGCCGACTCTTGAGCAACTCAAGCACACTATAGGGTTTAGGGTTTAGGGTTCAGGGTTTAGGACCTACTGTACATTGTTGTGGCGTCGAAGGTGCTTTCGAAGGCCTGTGAAGCGTTCTGCAGGGAGTGCATGGCCACCACCCCGGACACATTGCTCCTGGCCCTGGCGAGGTTGTCATGGTAGTCCTCTGCAGGACTTGGTTTAGGGTTTAGGGTTAGGGCTTGTGGTTTGTGGTTTGTGGTTTGTGGTTTGTGGTTTGGGGTTTGGGGTTTGGGGTTTGGGGTTTGGGGTTTGGGGTTTGGGGTTTGGGGTTTGGGGTTTGGGGTTTGGGGTTTGGGGAGGTTCATCAGTACTTCTTAACCCAATCAGAACGGAACGTATAAGTCAATTGTAACCACATTAGACATCCGGGTGCTTCAGGGGCTGTATGGTGGCTTATAGCTACGGAGACCCAGGAAACCCGCAGGAATAAACAGGGTACCCTTTTTGAATTGGAGGGGCTTGTAAGGGCCTACTCTGGGTCCCAGTATCCCCAAACCCCAAACCCCAAGCCCCAAGCCCCAAACCCCAAACCCCAAACCCTAAACCCTAAACCCAAATCTCAGTCCTAGCCAAAGTGCTGAGTTATTATACCTTGTAAAGTACCCCTGAAACTCTCAGGACATTTGAATGGACAGTCGAGGCCTGAACCCCCTGAAACCCCCAAGAAGCACCTCGAGGTTTCAGGATGTTGTTTTGGGGAGGAGTTAGGGTTTAGGGTTTAGGGTTTAGGGTTTAGGTTTTGGGGTGTAGGGTTTAGGGTTTCGGTTTTATCAGTTCAGGGTTTAGGATATCCTCCCACCCTCTTCCTGCATGCACACGCTGGTGCTGGGCGGCCGGAAGATGGCGTACCAAAGCAAGTAGCCCACAAGAACCAGCATCAACCTTGGCTTGCCACGAATAAGGTGTGTAGGGGGTTTAGGGTTTAGGGTTTAGGGTTTAGGGTTTAGGGTTTAGGGTTTAGGGTTTAGGGTCTAGGTTTTAGGATTTAGCATTTAGGGTTTATGATGTTCAGGATTGGCGGATACAAGGGCGTACTGAATGGGGTTAAGGGACTTGGGCTGAGGGTTCGTAGTGGTCGTGCGGGTAGTTTTCGTTGTACTTGTATAACAACTGCAAGGGGCATACATAATATTGGCACCCTAAACCCTAAACCCTAAACCCCAAACCCTAAACCGTGGCAATTCTTCAGCTCCTGAACTAAACTAAACGACTTCTTCCAAGAGAGTCCGCTTCTCGTGCTATGAAACCCTACCGAAAGCCAGAGTCGATTTGGCTTTTCAGATACCTACTTCAATGAGAATACCCTAAACCCTAAACCCTAAACCCCAAACCCCAAACCCTAAACCCTAAACCAATCATACCGTACCACCATGAATGGACCCTCTCCAGATAGCAGGAGGTAGCCCAAGGAACAAGTTGCAAGCGCAGCTGCCCAGGAAGAGGTAAAACCAGGTCTTCGATGCCTGCGCCATGTGGGGGTTTCGGTGTTTACCCTAAACCCTAAACCCTAAACCCTACACCCTACACCTTCAACCCTAAACCGGCAGGGCTAGTCTTTGGGCTCGAAGGTTTTTGCCTAGAGCCGCCTTTAAATCTCTGAATACCCTGCGAAGGTAAATTGGGGGGTGGGGGGGGGCTCCAAAAATTGGTAGAGGGTGTAGGGTATGGGATATACACCCAAATATACTTGGGTTTGGTCCCAAAGGTTTCGGAAACCCCCCCGCCACTGCGAAAAGCAAACTCAGACCCAGATGTATGCACTGATACATCTCAATCATCTAACAACTCGATGCGGAGGTCTCAAACCGCACCCAACGCCTACTTCTGAGGGAATCGTCTTATTTCAGGGGGCTCTAGGCGGCCCTTATGGATACCTTTGAGATTTTGCGGTGGCGGCATGCTCTTCACCTAAAACCTATAAACCCTAAGCGGCATGGGTATTAGTGGGGGCTGTGCCTCGAATGCTCATGTTGGGGGACCTCATGACCCAAGTTATAGCCCTTAAACAGGGGGATATCCTGCTAGGGGTATTCAGGGTTGAGGAGATGGAGGTTGAGAGGCCAACTCGCCAGCAGAGCTCTCCTAGAACCGTCGTGCCTATAGAATCTTCAACCCTGAGAACCAAAAACCCTAAGCCCTAAAACCCTTTACCTTGTCCCCTAAACCCTCAACCTTAAACCCTAAACCCTAAACCCTAAACCATGAGCCCTAAACCCTAAGGCGCATGAATGCCACAGCAGCCTCGCGGTCATTTGCCCTGTCTCCACGGCCATCCAGCAGAGATTGTTCACTCGCATCCGCCATCCACTACGAGAAATCTCCTTGCTTGCCCTCACTACTCTGGCTCCTGAACCCTTCACCCCAAGCCCAAAACCCTAAACCCTCAAGCCTGAACCGTAAGCCCTACGCCCAAAGCCCTAAACACCCAAAACCTAGAGCGTTTCTTGTTGGACCATGCTTGTCCCTGTCTTGGATGAGATGTCGTCCCGCGCATGAGCTCAGAAGCTGCTGCAAGCAAAACAAACCCCTAAACTTCTTCCTTAGGGTTTCGGGAACATAATTAGGTAATACCTTACCTCCCCTATATCACCCTGCTCAGAGGGATTTTGACAGGGTGCCTAAATCCCTACTTGTAGGTCTTTCATACGTGACAGGCGCCCGCTAAGGAGATGTCTATAGAACTTGTGTCGTTCGAATTTCGCTGGAACAAAAGAAATCCATGCACTTGGTTCTTTGCGGGCGTCAGCAAGTCGAAACAAAACATGAATCGCATGCATTGGTGTCTAAAGCGCATACACCCAAAAAACACGTTGACAAACACATGTTTGAAGACAATGCATGTCTCAACGAATTCAAACGTGTATAAGGTGAGCAGACAACAGGCTGCTATTTGCGTCCGCGATGTGCGCAAGCCGTTCTTGCAACCCCCCTTCGGGACCAAACGAACCCATAAAGTGGGGGGTCATATAGCCAATCCTACTGTAGATTCCTACGTTAAGGAGTATCAACCCTAGATACCCAATCCCACTATAATTCCTACTTAAGGAGCATGAACCCTCAAGCCTGAACCCCCCCCCCCCCCCCTCCCCAACAAAAAAAAAACAAAAAACTAATAATAATAAAATAATAATAATCTTCTTAAGTAACCCACAAAGAACCCCCCAAAATCCCATTAAGTAACCCAACAAAAAAAAACAAAATCCTGCTAAGGTGAGGAAACACACATGCAGTCCCTTGAGAAACACCCGTTCCAGGCACTGCACGGCTTCGGAGTAACAGAGGGGTTTAGGGTTTAGGGTTTAGGGTTTAGGGTTTAGGGTTTAGGGTTTGGGGTTTAATGTGGTCTCCTGATTAGTGTGGGCGCCCCCCCCCCCCCAAACTAAATCCACCCCCGCAATAGTGTCACAAAAAAAAGGACCCCCCCAAACTACTTTTCGGCCCCGGGCCCCCCCGACCGGCTCCTCTTCATTCCCTCTTCGCTCCTCTTCCCTCTCCTCTTCCTCTCCTCTTCCTCTCCTCTTCCTCTCCCTCTCCGAAAAAACTTTTCATTATTGTAGGGGGGCAACCAAATTTTTGTCCCCTGAATTATTTTTCGAACACTTTTCATTATTGGAGGGGTCCACGCTAATCAGGATACGACATTAGGGTTTAGGGTTTAGGGTTTAGGGTTTTCAGAAGCGGGGTACTGGGGCCGGAGTCACAGTGACTAGACTACGTAGCTTGCTTTTTCCGATTGAGCCCAAGGCGCCTGTCATGCAGGAACTTGTCTCATGAATGCTATTTGACGCTTGCATGTTTGTTCATGCCTATACAAGTGTTCGCCTAACAGCTTCTGCTCTATACGAAATCCAACTCGGCGCTTGTGTACAGGAAAATCTCACACCCGTCTTATCAACGAGTGGATGAGTGCGCCTCAAGAGAAGTGAAATTCGTCACTCAGCTGGAGCTTCTTCTCTCACAACGGCCTCGTTGCTCTCCAAGGCGTCGTTCAGAAGCTTGGGCTTCATGCTCTTGGTCAAGCAGTCAGCCAGCTGAAGGTGGGTTGGAATCCATCGCAGGATGTCACCGAATGGTGCGAAGGCTTCGCTCGTCGGTGTCTCGTCTACCCACAGTGCTTGGCGCAATGCTGTCATTTCGATAGCAAGACGCTTGTCTTCCACTGGTCTGGGTACCGACGACAGCAAATGATCTGTGAGCGATCTGCAGTCGGAGTACTGCAGGTGTAGCATCTTTCTCGGCGCTACTTCGCTCCAGTCATGCAGCGACGGCAGTTTGCCTTGCAACTCTAGGAGTGTCGCACGGATCCTGTCTCCGTGCTCGGTGGCATGCTGCAGGCTGTACGCTTCACATTGTAGTGTCGCACGGCAGACTCGTTTCATCGTAGAGCTACCGAATGCAACCAGGTGAAGCTTGTGCTTGGGTGCGTTCACGTCGCGTGCTGTTTCCGCGTCAGTGAGGTAGTGCAACCTCCCCCTCTGGGACTTGTACCCAGCTTCAGCAGCAAAAGAGGCGTCACAAAACGTGACTACTGCGAGGGGGCCACTGCTCCACGGCAGTATCTTGGCGCGATACACGATGCTGCGCTCTGCGTCGCCCGAGGCGAGTGCGACCACACGGTTGGCCTCTCTCATCGTGTCGATGGTCGCGACGGTCACTCGCTGCTGCAACGCGTTGACGCGGTACGCGAGGTCGGGCCTGCTAGCCCGGGCCACCCACGCGAGTGAACCTATGACGGACCGAAGCGCCGTCCTCTGTCCTTGTGTGACAGGTGCCGTCAACTTTGCACCCTTGGGGATCTCGAGGGGAGCGATGGCACGCGTGTTGTCCCTTGAGTTGATCTCGATGGTGCCATCGGGGTGCTGGGCGTATTCTCTGCCACAGAACCTGAAGCTACCCTCTTCGATCCTCCCGATTTTGAAGTGGTCCAGCAACTGCTGGATCTTCAGCTCGCCCTCACCGAACGCTGCCCAGAAGAAGTCGTCCACGTGAGTGCACAGCATAGCGCACAGCCGGCCGCTTGTGTCGTGCGCGTAGTACAACGCGGACATGATCTGGGATGACTTCAGTCCGATGCACTTTGTCTCTTCGACTATGCGAAGGTAGAGGTTTCGGCCGGCGTCGGTCGTTCCATACACTGGGACACGGGCAATCATGTAGCCGGATTCCTGGATCTCCTTGTCCGGAACGCCCTTGGGGTTGCTAGGAGCCTTGAGGATCAGCAATCTCTCGAGCGGCTTACCCTGAAAGTAGGCGTTCGTGATGTCGGCTGCCTTGATTCGCAAACCGAGTGAGGATGCCCAGGAACAAATGAAAGCCAGTGCTTCAGGCTCGGCTGTCGGGGAATCTGCACGAATGTCCTCCCCTGTGGAGATGTGCTCGAAATTCCCGCATGCGACTAGCCTAGCTTTGTATTTGGGACGATAGCCGGGGGTGCCTTTCAAATGTTCATGTTTGTCGGTGAGAACCCACTTGGTGGGCACGCAGATGTGTCCTTGGCTAAGCAACTCCTGCACTTGCTTCTTTGAGCAAGGTATCACAGCGTGAAATTCCTGATACTTGGCCCACTCCGCGAGCATGGCCTCGTCCAACCCCAACTGCACCTCGGCTGGGCTGTTGTGGTAGTCCAAAAGTGAGGCTAGGAAACCTGTTCCAACTTCCTCGTCGTCTGAGGAGTGCATGTCGTCTGCTCGCTCAGGCTCCTCCTGACGGGGCTGCTCTACTTGGGGTGATGGAATACGCGGTTGTGGGAACTCCAAGTCTTCCATCATCTGGTGTTCATCTGCGCGCAACTTTCCCAAGTGATTCATAGTGAACCCAATGATGCTGAATCTCTGCCCTTCATGGGGTTCCACCATATGGAGTTTCTTTGGGTCAAAAC